TGTGTGACACAGAGTGTTAGACTGGATGGGCCATTGGCCTGATCCAACTTTGGTGTCTCTTATGTTCTTATGTTCTTATACTCTGCATTCTTGGTGCTTGGGGGGGGGGCGGCAACAGTGGGAGGGCTTCTAGTGTCCTGGCCCCACTGGTGGACCTCCTGATGGCACCTGGTATTTTTGGCCACTGTGTGATACAGAGTGTTGGACTGAATGGGCCTTTGGCCTGATCCAACATTGGCATTTCTTATGTTCTTAAGTGAGCAGTGACTCAGGAGAGCTCCTCCCCTGCCACAAATTCGGTCAGTCCTTGAGGTGCTCCTGAACTCTGGCTCCTTTTTACTGCAGTGCCGTCGGCCTTTTGCAACCCCTTTGGTGCGTCATGCCTTCGCCTGGTTTTCGTTTGCATTGTCTTCCCCATTATGCAACCCTCGCTCTACTGCATTGTTTGTTGGAGGACTTGGCTGTCTGATTGAATTGCTTCTCGTGTTTTGCGATCTGCCTGGAGTCTACCTGATAGGATGAGGTCGTACTCCAGAAAGCGTCTGCTGGAACAGACTCTGTTGGTCTTTAAGGTGTCCCTGGACTCCTGTTGCGTTTCTGTATGCGCCATGTGCGATGGCTCTTCCTTCCTTCTCAGTCGTTCAGGACTAGGTGTAGCAAGAGGAAGGTTTCTCTTGCGAAGCGAGTAGGAGTAACGTGTTCTGGAATCTGCACCGTCACCAATAGAGGGAAACTTGGTGAGCTTCTGGGGGAACTCCGGGGTTTCTCAGACCACATGAAACTGCCAGGAGAGCGCATCCTGGATAAGTCCCTACACAATGTTCCCTCTGATCCCCCCCCACCCTGAGCAGTTCACATCGTGAGCAGAATATAACTGCTGAAATCTTAAAATGAGGAATATAGAGAATCGCAGAAATAAGCGCCCCCCCCGAAATATTATGCCGTGAAAACTTACTAATGATAAAGGTAAAAGGTAAAGGTCTCCCTTGCTCGAAAGCCAGTCGAGTCCGACTCTAGGGTCGTGGTGCTCATCTCCGTTTCAAAGCCGAAGAGCCAGCGCTGTCCGAAGACGTTTCCGTGGTCATGTGGCCGGCATGACTAAACACCAAGGCGCATGGAACGCTGTTACCTTCCCACCTAAGTGGCACCTATTTATCTACTTGCAATTTCTTGCTTTCGAACTGCTAGGTTGGCAGGAGCGGGAACTAGAGATGGGAGCTCGCTCTGTCCTGCGGCACACTCGGGTCTCGAACTGCTGAACTACTGACCTTCCACAGCCTGCAGTTCAGCGTCTTAACCACTTGAGCCACATATCTTATTGTCATTAATAAATGCAGGTTATACCACAATTGATTATTAATACTGGCACAATACTAGGACTGAAAGTTCCAATACAGATTTGTAAAGACATTCAAGCAAATCTTATACGCTAAGTATTGGAGGAAAAGTGAACTACCTTCTAAAGAAGAACTCATATACAAAATTCTTGAAACGGCTGAGATGGACAAATGGACTTCAGTTTAGAGAGGACAAGAAGGAGGACGTTTCTGCAGTACGTGGTCAAGATTTTATAAATGGTTGGAAGACTATTACAAATAAACAATATAGACATATGAACATTTTAGGAGACTTCATTTCCATATTAATATGCAAAACACTTATGCAAAACTATTTTGTGATAATAATTGTAGTAAACATTGCAGGAGGTGACAGATGATATAGATAAATATATGTAACCCCCATTTTATGTGTATGTGTTATGTCTGTTTTTGTTTGTTTTTGTCCATTGAAAAAATAATTTTTTCCCATGAAAAATAAATAAAGATATTCAAACAAATATCTGGCAACCGGTCCTAGATCTTGGAGTCATAGTAGATAACTCAATGAAACTGCTGAGCAGTCGGGTTAGAACAGATAAAGTCCTTCTTCACCTAAAGAGTGATGAACACTTGGAATTCACTGCCACAGGAGGTGGCGGCGGCTACAAGCATGGACAGCTTCAAGAGGGAACTGGATAAGTAAAAGGAGCAGAGGTCCATCAGTGGCTATTAGCCACAAGGGATAGACAGGAACTCTCAGGCTGGGGCAAGTGATGCTCTGGATTCTTGGTGCTTGGAGGGGTCAATAGTGGGAGGGCTTCTGGAGTTCTGGCCCCACTGCTGGACCTCCTGATGGCACCTGGTATTTTTGGCCCCTGTGTGACACAGAGTGTTGGACTGGATGGGCCACTGGCCTGATCCAAGATTGGCTTCTCTTAGGTTCTGATGTTCTTAAGTGCAAAAAGTGCTATGTCAACGTTCAAGTGTCCTATTTTCAGAGAAATTGTAGACATTCCATGAGAATCCAGCTGACGGAGGGCTAGCTTGTAAAAACGCCGTTTCTGGTATCCTCTTTCATCAAAGCTGGTATCGCTTAAGAATCCATTCATTCAAAATTTGCTCCAATCATTTCACAGCGGACTGGTGCAAGTCTGTCAGTCCTCATATTGCATACAAATTAATAATCAGTCCCCCCCAAATTGTTGTTTGGTGCCAGTTTGGTGCCAGTTTGTAGTGGTTAAGTGCGCAGACTCTAATCTGGGATAACCGGGTTTGATTCCCCACTACTCCACGTGCAGGTGCTGATGTGACCTTGGGCAAGCCATAGTTCTTGCACAGCTGTTCTTGAAAAAGAGAAGTTTCTGTCAGAGCTCTCTCAGCCCCACCCGCCTCACAGGGTGTCTGTTGTGGGGAGGGTAAGGGAAAGGAGTTTGTAAGCCGCTCTGAAACTCCTTTGGATATTGAAGGGCAGGTATAAATCCAATCTCGTCTCTCTCTCCTTCTTCTTGTATAAGTTGCATTTATTAATTACAATAAGATATGAGTTTATAATTAGTCAGTTTTCATGGCATAATTTTTCTTGTGAACTTAAAAGGGGCCATGGGCAGTGCGAGACCCTGCGCGGCTCCGGATTGCTGCCGAGGGGGGCTTCCTGTGTTCATGAGCGGCCGCTCACCCGCGCAGCTCTGAGGGAATGCTACCTGACACCCATCTTTCTTTGCTGAGAACTGGATAAGGGAGAGGAATAGAGATGTAAAGGCCTGGAAAAAAGCCAGAAAAATTCGGGGGGAAAAGTCCCCCCCCCATTTTTTCCTGAAGCCTTTTTTGTTTTTTTCCGAAAAATTGGAAAAATTGAAAAAAGGAAAGAAGAAAATTTGATTATGGAACATTTTATTTTAACATGATGAATAAAATATTTTAAGACAAGGTGTTCAAATATTTTCCAAATCATTTCTAAAAAAATATGTATGGTATCAGATTGATCTAATTTCTGTGCACTGAGGACAAGCAAGTCCTAGGTTACAAATTGAACTCTCCAATGGAAGCACAAGATGCATTTCTTCCTTTAGGAGGTGCGATTGTCACAAGAAAAAAAAAGGTTTCCGTTTTGTTTTTGCATGTGGGTGGGTATTCTGTTTGTAATAATTGTTTGGATACACTATATTTTTAATATGCTAGTCCTGATAATTTCATGCCAAGTAAAAATGTCCATAGTCATATTTTATGTTCCTAAAGTAACAGAATGACTTTCAATTTGGAAAAGAAAAAAGAAGTGCTAATGTAGCATTTTTTTCAATTTTTCAAAAAAAATTCCATTCCCCCCCCCGAAAAAAACTGGGGAAAAAACGGGGTTTTTTCCAAGTTTCAAAATTTCCGGAAATGTTGCTTGTTGAGGGTTGGCAAACTAAAGTTCCATCTGGCAATAAGCTCTTAGCCAGTGATGCTGCCGTGGCCCTTTGGTGGGCAGCGCTTCATCCCCTTTAAAGGGCAGGACTGCCGTCCGGGGGTAATGTTAGATCTGTGGCTGCAGTTGTGGTTATGGATCTCGTTTATGGCTTGTAGTCCCTTTAAGCAACGTGGCCTGGGTCTTTCTTCGTTTTTTTTTTGGGGGGGGAGGAGGAGGAGAAGAAGAGGAGGAGGATATTGGATTTATACCCTTCACTACCCAAAGGAGTCCCAGAGCGGCATACAGTCTCCTTTCCCTTCCACTCCCCACAACAGACACCCTGTGGGGTAGGTGGGGCTGAGAGAGCTCTTTCAAGGATGGCTCCTGAGAGAACGTCTCAGAGAGAACTTGTGACTGACCCAACGTCACACCAGCAGCTGCATGTGGAGGAGTGGGGAATCAAACCCGGTTCTCCCAGATTAGAGTCTGCACTCCTAAGGGAAAGGAGATTGTAAGCCGCTCTGAGACTCTGAATGAAGAGCAGGGTATATAAACCAACTCTTCTTCTTATCTGGAGAACCGGGTTTGATTCCCCACTCCTCCTTCACATGAAGCCAGCTGGGCGACCTTGAGTCAGTCACAGTCCTCTCAGAGCTCTCTCAGCCCTACCTACCTCACAGGGTGTCTGTCGTACGGAGAGGAAGGGAAGGCGATTGTAAGCTACTCCGAGACTCCTTCGGGTAGCGAAAAGTGGGGTATAAAAACCAAATCTTCTTCTAATCTGGAGAACCAGGGTTGATTCCCCACTCCTTCTCCACATGAAGCCAGCTGGGTGACCTTGGGTCAGTCCGAGTTCTCTCAGAGCTCTCTCAGCCCCACCTGCCTCAGAGGATGTCTGTGGTGGGGAGGGGAAGGGAAGGCGATCGTAAGCCGCTCTGAGACTCCTTTGGGCAGTGAAGGGCGGGGTATAAAAACCAACTCCTCCTCTTTTTCCTCCTTCACTATCCTTTATCAGCCAGTTGGACAAACAGCTGTGTCTGACCTGACTCAAAAAGCCCATTCGTTAACCTGCTCTGAAAACAGATTACAAAGGCGGTCTGAAAGGGGCCTGTGCCTTTGGCACCGGGCATTTCTGAGGCCCTCAACAGATCTACCCCTGCGAGCGTCTCTTCTTGCCGTTGCAGAACTCAGGCAGGGGGTGGGGTGTGGGATGTCTTCTGAGCCCCGCTGATACCCTCCTGGCTCCAGAGGGACAAGAATGACAACCCTTCTCTTTGGTTTTTCTGTCTTTGCAGGATGAAGGCCCGCTGCTGCCTCCTACTGGTCGCTCTGTACATGGCTGGCTTGGGCAGCCCTTCGGGTGAGTGAGCTGGCCCGCTTCTGGGGTGGGGGGGGGGGGTCGTGGAACAGTTAGGTCAGGCGTCCCCAGCACAGTGCCTGTGGGCGGCCCTCCGCAACACCGTTCTTGCTGCCTGCCGGGTAGTTTTGGAAAGTGGGGTGGGGCGAGGTGGGGCTTCTGCCCAGGAAGACTTCTGATTGGCCATTGGAGGTTTGATTGACTGTACAGATTTTTTTTTTTTTTTTAAAAAACCTTTGCTTTTTCAGCAGCTGCCGCCACAGCACAGGAATCTTCACTGTATGATGGAGGGACAGCTGGCACTTTGTGGCCGCACCCCCCCTCCCTCAGAGAGCCATTTGGTGTAGTAGTTAGGAGCGCGGACTCTAATCTGGGAGAACCGGGTTTGATTCCCCACTCCTCCTCCATGTGCAGCTGCTGGGGTGACCTTGGGTCAGACACAAGTTCTCTCGGAGCTGTTCTCTCAGGAGCAGTCCTCGAGAGAGCTCTCTCAGCCCCACCCACATCACAGGGTGACTGTCGTGGGGTGGGGGGAAGGGAAAGGAGATTGTGAGCGGCTCTGAGACTCCTTTGGGTAGTGAAGGGCGGGGTATAAATCCAGTCTCTTCTTCTTCTCACTGTGTCTGAGTTCCAGTAGGGCCTGCAGTGTTCCCCACCAGTGTTCTCTCTAAGCTTGAGTTAGTGTGAGCTAGCTCACAGTTTTTAAGCTTCTGGCTCACAGATTTTTATGTTAGCTTGGGAAGGATGGCTCCAGAGAAAACTAATTTATGCAGTAGGCAAATCACCTGCTCACAACTTTAACGCCAGTAGCTCATAAAGCAGAATTTTTGCTCACAAGTCTCCACAGCTAAGAGGGAGCATTGCCCCCCACCCCAAGTTAGGTAATTGTAGACTCTGAACTTCGTAGTCTGATTGTCCCTTGCTGGTTTGATGGCTAAGTGTGGCTCTGTTGGGACCGCCCTACTGAGTCTGTGTACTGCAGCCTTGGATTTCCATGCCAAGTCCAGCCCAGGGTGGAGTGGGTCTTTAGCAGAAGCATATGCGGCGTTTTTCGGGGGGGGGGAGTAATGGGATTTGGAGGCTGCAGCCAGTGTTCCCTCTAAGCTGAGTTAGTGTGAGCTTGCTTACAGTTTTTTAGCCTCCAGCTCACACATTTTCTGTCTGAGCTCAGGAAGGAGGGCTCCAGAGTAAACTAATTTATGCAGTAGCCAAATTGCTCGCTCACAACTTCAATGCCAGGAACTCACAAAGTAGGATTTTTGCTCACAAAACTCCACAGCTTACAGGGAGCATTGGGCAGCTAGTGCAGAATGTTGGGGGTCAGGAGCATGTAGCCCCTGTGTTACAGCAATTCCGCTGGCTACCAGCCCACTCCGAGTTCAAGGTATTGGTTTTGTCCTTCAGAGGCCTAGATGGCTTGCAATGTTCCCTCTGAGCTGTGGAGTCTCGTGAGGAAAGATCCTACTTTGTGAGCTCCTGACATGAAAGTTGTGAGCGAACGATTTGGCTACTGCCTAAATTATTATTATTTTTTTATTTACATGTGACTTCTATACCGCTATACTGCTCTGGGGCCCTCCTTCCTGAACGAAGACAAATATGTGTGAGCCGGAGGCTAAAAAACTGGGAGCTAGCTCACGCTAACTCAGCTTAGAGGGAACACTGGACCTGGGTGTCTTCTTCTACCTGTTCTGCCCAGGAATGAAGATCATAGGGCAAGCCCCTCCGTTCCATCAATCCCAGAAGCTCCTTTGGTGGGCACACCAGCGAGGGTCTTTTCGGTGATAGCCCCGCAATTATGGAACAGCCGCCCCCAGCCAGTGCACCTGGCCGCCCTCAGTCTTGATCTTTAGGGGGCAGCTGAAGACTGTTTCATTGGGACTGCATTTGGTCACGTTTACTAGCAATTCTAAGTTGCTATTTTCAGTGTTGGTGTTTACGTTTTTTAAATGTATTTCATTCTGCGTGTTTTATCTATGTCGTGAGCCGCCTTGAGGTCTGTAAGGAAGAAAGGCAGCTGGCAAATTAGCTGTTGTACAACCATACAACCCAGAGAATCTACAACAGCTAATGAACTCCAGCCGTGAAAGCCTTCGACAACATATTGCAGCTAGCAACTGTGTAAAGTAAATGAGAGTACTGCTGTTCAAGGGCCTGGGGAATGTGCAGTGGCATTTATGTGCCAGGAGCCCTAACAACCAGCTGTTTGCATGTGTGGGGAATGCTCTGTGCCATGCAGGGCCGGAGTTGGCTGCTTTGAAATATTGATGGAGAATGACTTTCCCAGACTCGCCCAACATGCCTGGTGGCTGAACCTGGCTTTGACCCCCGATGTGGAATGAGCTCCCGGAGGAGATCAGGGCCCTGCGGGACCTTATGCAGTTCCGCAGGGCCTGCAAGACGGAGCTCTTCCACCAGGCTTTCACGTAGGGGCCGCCGCTGCCACCACTACTACCAACGGTGGTAAGACCTTCGAAGTTGGGAGTGCCCTTGAACTTAGCGCTATTAGAACTATACGACAATGAGTATAGCGGACGGGCTCGGACCATTTCTTGGACAATGATGCCATCTTTTTAACAACTTAAGATCATCTGATAAAAGAAAGCACTTTATTGTTCATTGTAATGCTGTTAGGATTTTATTGCATTTTATGTGATTTTATGTATGGGCTATGCCCCCTGTAAGCCGCCCTGAGCCCGCTTGCGGGGAGGGCGGGGTAAAAATGCTTAAATAAATAAAATAAAATAAATAAATGTCCCCAGTTTGACACTTGACCGTGCTGTTCTCACAGCTTCCTAGCTGCTCGGCGGCATGACCAAGACCCTTTCCGCACTCTCCTTTTAATCCATGTCCACCACGGTGTCCTCCAAGCAATTCTGCAGTAAAATCGAACCCAGCCTTCTTTATAATCCAGTTCCCCCCCCATTCTGCACTAAAATTGAACCCAGCCTTCTTTTTAATCCAGCCCCCCCCCATTCTGCACTAAAATCGAATCCAGCCTTCTTTTTAATCCAGGTATTTCCCCCATGGAGCTGCGGTGGCTCAAGTGGTTGCTGAACTGCAGGCTGTGGAGGGTCAGTAGTTCAGCAGTTCGAGACCTGGGTGCCGCATGATGCAGTGAGCTCCTGTCTCTAGTTCTAGCTCCTGCCAACCTAGCAGTTCGAAAGCAAGAAATGGCAAGTAGATAAATAGGTACCACTTTGGTGGGAAGGGAACAGCGTTCCGTGCACCTTGGTGTTTAGTCATGCCGGCCACATGACCACGGAAACGTCTTTGGACAGCGCTGGCTCTTCGGCTTTGAAATGGAGATGAGCACCGCAACCCTAGAGTCGGATTCGACTGGCTTTCGAGCAAGGAAACCTTTACCTTTACCTTTATTTCCCCCATTCTGCAGTAAAATCGAACCCAACCTTCCTTTTAATCCAGTTTTCCCCCCCTATTCTGCACTAAAATCGAATCCAACTGGCAGGTATTTTTGCCACGGACTTAAATTGCCTCGACTCGAACACTGGGAGAATCCGGAGTGCCAGGCAAAAGCGGAAAGGACCCAACTGAAGGACAAATAAAGATAGCTTGGCGGGGAGAGTGCCCTGGCAGGGCCGGGCCTGGCGATCCCACAGGACAGAGCAAGATGGGGCAGTGCAGAGGCAGCCCGAGATGTCGTAGTACCTCTGGCCCCAAATCCTGCCTTTGGATTTGGCGGAACAGCTGCTTAGAACCACATTTTCTCCCACGCTGTCATGGTGGTAAGCAAATACGATTCCTCTTTCATGGAGTGTCCAGATCTGCCTTGTGCTTCGTGTGGGGCTTGCTTGAAAAGATCAGGGGAAGCTTGCATCATGGCGCGCAGTCACTCCTCTTCGGAGCGTGCATTGTTGTCTCCAGTCAAAAAGGACCAGGCAGTGGGTGATGGGAAAGACCTCTGCCGGAGACCCTGGAGAGCTGCAAGGAGGGGCTGTGGCTCAGTGGAAGAGCCTCTGCCTGGCATGCGGAAGGTCCCAGGTTCATTCCCCGGCATCTCCAGTCAAAAAGGACCAGGCAGTGGGTGATGGGAAAGACCTCTGCCTGAGACCCTGGAGAGCTGTAAGGAGGGGCTGTGGCTCAGTAAGGGCAGAGCTCTGATTGGCATGCAGAAGGTCCCAGGTTCAATCCTTGGCATCTCCAGATAGAAGGACCCGGCAGGAGGTGATGGGAAAGACCTCCGCCCGAGACCCCAGAAAGTGGCTGCTGGTCTGAATAGACAAATACTGACTTTGATTGGTTTGGCTGCTGGTCTGAATAGACAAATACTGACTTTGATGGATCCCAAGTCCGATTCAGTTCCTTCCTGGGGAGGACATCACAGAGTGGAACGGGGTTAGAAGCGGGACGGGAGCTGGGTAATGCTGCTAGATGTAGCCAGTCTTTGCATCACTGGGCCTGGTTCTGAGCTGCCCTTACGTTGGGGAAATGGATGCATGCATTGTGTCCGCCCGCCCCCCCGCCGTGTTCATCCTCTTTACCGTACATACACATGTGTCACTTTGAGGAACAGGCCAGGATATGAGCCACCCTCTCCCACCCAGATGTTTCCTGCCAACAGGATGGTGAAATTCTCCTCTCCAAATGCCTCTTTGCCCAAGGATGTGTGACGGATTATTTTATTTGCTCCCAGTCTATAGATGTGTGACAGATTATTTTATTTGCTCCCGGTCTAGAGATGTATGCCGAATTCAGCTCTTGGAGTGGTAAAGCCTCATTAGACTGCATACAGCACCATAGACTCCAATTAGGTCTGCTACAAAAAAATCTCTAACTTATCTCTTGTGGCATAATAAAATATTATCGGTCAGATGTCAACATGTTTTGCCAGCAGACCGGACAGAGAACTCTTTTAAAATGAATGATTTTATTGAAAATAAAGTGTCACTATTCATTAGGCAAGGGTTTAAAAAAATAAAATTAAAAGGTGCAAGTTAAAGTCTGTGAATCCAGAATAAATGCATGTGAGAAAAATCAGGTCT